GCGAGGCCGTGCCGAGGAAGGTGCCGGTGACGCCCACGTAGTCGTTGTCGGCCGCGCTGACGTACATCACCAAGTTGGAGGCCGTGCCCAGCCTGTACCGGCAGCCGAAAAATTACCGTCTCCCCGGCGTCAGCGTGTAGGTGCGCACGATGTTCCAGGCGAAGGCGCTCAGGGTCATGGCGTAGCCCTCCAGCTGGAAGCCTCCCACCGTGAAGCTGGCCGAGGCCACGGAGCTCTGGCTGTTGGAGCGCACCAGAAAATTGCCTAGCGTGGTGAGCGTGGGCTCCAGCAGCACCTCGCCCCGGGTGGCCAGCGTGACGTCGTCGGCCCCTCCGTCGAGGAACTCGTGCTTCAGCAGCAGCGCTGAGGCCGCTGTGTCCTCCTCCGCCTCCACCGCGTTGCCGGTCTCCAGGGTTGCGTCCAGGATCTGGAGGCCGTAGACGTCCACCGTTCCAGCCGTCTGGTTGGGCAGGCCCGGCGCCTGGAAGTCGCCCCGAAGTGCAGCTTCGCCACCCCGTTCGGAGGCACTGTGAAGTACATCTTGGCAGTGCTCCAGGCACCCTGGTCGCCCACGAAGCTGCCGTACAATGGGTCGTAGACGTTGTCTGCCTCGGACATGTACACCACGAAGTTGGAGGCCGTGCCGAGCCGGTAGCGGCAGGCGAAGAGGAGCTCTCGGCCCGGGGTCAAGTTGTAGGTGCGCACGATGTTCCACGGGTTCACCGCCAGGGTCAGGGTGTAGCCGTCCACGCTCACTGCGCCCGCGGTGTGCGTGGCCAAGACCACGCTGCAGCCGCTGCTGGGGCGAACCGTCCAGTTTGACAGCGAGACGTCCGTGGGGGCCAGAATCTGCTCTCCTATGGCGGCACCACCTCGTCGGCCCCGCCGTCGTCCGGGAAGCGCACTGCTATCTGCAGCGCCGAGGCTGCCTCCGCGACTCCGAGCTTGCCGGCGAGGAGGCCGTCTACTTGCGCGATGGTGTAGTAGCTGAGCAGCGCGGCGGCGATGCTCGAGGCCGTCGCCGTGTCCTGGTCTGCGGCTGAGCGGTACGCCACCATCGCCGAGGTGATTTGGTTGGTTGTGAAGACGTCCTGGTCCGGGCCCGTCCGGTAGGCCAGCAGCGCGCCCGCGATGGCGGCCTGCGTCTGCGTGTCCTGCGCGCATGCCGTGCGGTAGTCTCCCAACAGCGCGTCTACCTGCGCCGAGGTGTAGTAGGCCAGCAGCGCTGCTGTGATGGCGCTGGTCGTCTCAGCGTCCTGCGCTGCCCCTGTGCGGTAGTCTCCCAACAGCGCGTCTACCTGCGCCGAGGTGTAGTAGGCCAGCAGGGCTGCTGGTATAGCGGCGTCAGTGCCCGCCGTGGAGTAGCAGTCTGCCGTGATGCTCAGCGTGTCGTCGCCGTTGGCCAGCGCAGCAGAGAGAGGAGCCACGAAATGCAGGTTGCGAACGACGTTACTTCCACGAACGAGCTCCCAAGTCGTGAAGCCCGCCCAGGCCGGCGTGTTAACAACTCCGCCGCTGCCGGAAAGCTGCAGGGCTGCGAGCTCCGCGAGGATTGCGTCGAGGGCGCTCTGGAGCGTGGTCTCGCTGGCCGAGAGCGCGGCGTTCGTGGCGTATGAGGCCAGCAGCGTCGCGTCGGCCTTGGCCCCCTGGAGCTCCGCGATGCTGGCGTCCCGGCTAGCAAGCTGCGCTGCGACGAAGGCCTCGGTGGCGAGACCCAGCAGGGCAATTGCTATCTTGGTGTCTACCTCCAGCGGCGTGTCCAAGCCGTCCACCGTGGAGAGCAGGGAGGCCAGCGCGCTTGCGTCCGCCTTGCCGAGGAGGGCGGCGTCCAGGGCTGCCGTGGTGACGGCGTCCAAGAGGGCCGTCGCGATCTTAGAGTCCACCTCCGAGGACGTGTCCACGGCCGACTGCAGGGCGTAAGCAGTCAGGGCGCTGGCGTCTGCCTTGGAGGCCTGCAGCCCCGAGATGGAGGCGTCTCGGCTCGCGAGCTCGGAGGCCAGCGCCGCGGCGGTCCCAGGAGAGCGTTGGCCACCTTGGTGTCCACCTCCAGCGGCGTGATCCTCGCCGCTATGTCTAGGGAGTGCTGGTCCACCACCGTCTTGAGGCCGTAGTTGGCGGCCACCGTGGCCAGCGTGGCGTTGTTGGCCGAGGCGATGGAGCCGTTCAAGGCCGCCGTGGTGCTGTAGTTGGACAGCTTCAGGTCCACGCCGTCCGGGGTGCTCTTGGTGGCCACCACGCCCTCCAGCACGTCGAAGGCCGACTGGTCTGCCTTGTTGGAGAGGCCCGTGGTCAGCGAGCTCTGCAGCGCGGCGATGCTGCTTCCGTGCGCGGCCACCTGACCGTCCGTGGTGGCCAGGGCCGCAGCCGTTGCTAGGGGCGCAATCGCCGGCGCCAGCGCGCTGCTGTCCAGCTTTGAGGCCAGCTCTGCGGTGACTCTGTCGTCCAGGGACTGGATGGCAGCGGCGTTGTTGCCGGCGGCTGCCGTGTTCACCGCCAGGTCAGTTACTTGAGCATAGGGCGTCAGAGCGAGGGCCAGCTGTCCTGCTGTGACGTGCGTGCCGTCAGTCACCTCTCCGTTGTCCAGGACCTCTGGGATGTTGCCCGTGACAGGACCTTCAAACATGTTTTCTTAGGAGTAGGTCTATAACGCAGGGGTGTTGTACTTTCGCAGCGCTCCCTCACTTGAGTTATATCAACTCGCAACAGCCCCTGGCAGTACGCGAAGTGGCGCAGTGACCTATAAAATCGGCCACTGGGCATGATGCGATGAATTGACCGAACATCTCGGTCAAAAGCGCTTGGGTCACCTCGGCCACATGACGAGACCTGAGCCAACCTTGCCCAGACAAGCATACCGGCAGGAATGCGATTGAGGGAAAATACCCCTCGATTCAACTTCCCGTGCTGCCAGTACACGAACTCGCGCACTTTTCGGCCCCAAAGAGAGCGGTGACGAAGCGGTGACAAGCGGTGACAAGCGGTGACATGCTCGGCGGGCTGGAATTCGCCGCTTTTCCGGGCCGAAAGCGGAAAACTGACGTCTGGAGCCCGCATTCGACCGAAAACCTGCGAATTTGGAGGCTCGGGCATCCCACTTGCAGTCCGACACGAAAAACGGACTCTTCGGACTCGAACGTTTTGAGCGCTTTTTGCACCAAAAACGGAGCCGGAAGGAGCGGTGACATCAGTGGTGACATCAGTGGTGACAAGCTCGGCGGGCTGACGGACCACCTCGACGAAGCGGTGACAAGCGGTGACATGCTCGGCGGGCTGGAATTCGCCGCTTTTCCGGGCCGAAAGCGGAAAACTGACGTCTGGAGCCGGTTTCGGCGGAAAACGAGCGAACTTGGAGGCTCGGGCATCCCACTTGCAGTCCGACACGAAAAACGGACTCTTCGGACTCGACCGTTTTGAGCGCTTTTTGCACCAAAAACCGGAGCCGGATGGAGCGGTGACATCAGTGGTGACATCAGTGGTGACAAGCTCGGCGGGCTGACGGACCACCTCGGCGGGCTGTCGGACTCCGAGCCTGGTCGGCGGGCTGACGGGCCGCGAAAAACCCTGCGGAGAAGGAGCTCGGGAACTGGGCCCGATTTTACGCACTTTTGCACCCAAAAAGCGAGTGGTGACAAAGCGGTGACAAGCGGTGACAAGTTTAGCGGGCTGGAATTCGCAGGCTTTTCAGGGCAGAAAACAGAATTCGGAGCACGGCGAACGTCTGGAGCCGGTTTTCGGCGGAAAACGAGCGAACTTGGAGGCTCAGGCACCACTTTGGACGTCTGACACGAAAAAAACACGCTTTGCGGAGTTCACCGTTTTCAGCGCTTTTTGCACCAAAAACGGAGTGGTGACAAAGACCGGTGACATCGGAAAAACGTTCAGCAGGTTGAAGAATTTGGCTGTTTTGCAGGGTTTGGGGACCAAAAAACCAAAATTAATAGGATACTATAAGCCTATGTTCCTTACTACTCTGGGAGGCCGCAGGCCCAGGTGGGAGTAGTAGTGCTGGCCCGCACGGGTCAGCTGCCCGTCCGCGCGCGAGAGCAGCGCGTAGGCCCCCGGCCCGCGCCGCAGGTTCAGCACGACGGCACCATCCGCCCCCGTGCGAGCCCGGGCGCCGCCGTCCGCGGCCTCCGTGATCTGCTGTCGTTGTCTCGCCCAACTTGCCATTCTTTTTTTACGGGGCCAGTTTTTTTTGCTCGGCCGCGCATTCTCCCCGGGTATACTTGCCCGTCAAGGCCGGGGAGAATAGCTTTTTACACGGTTTTGCGCTGAAAAAATGCTATTACTGCAGCCCGTATATCTATATACGGGCTACAGTAATAGCTCGTTTTGCACGATTTTTGCATGGCATGACATTTGCTTGATTTTGCATGGTGTTGCTTGATTTTGCATGGTTTTGCATGATTTTGGTGTGCTTTTTTTTATGTCCCGCGCGGGACGCCTCTGTTGGGGATGCTGGGGGATGCTGGGGACGCCTCTGCTGGGGATGCTGGGGATGCTGGGGTGCGGGAGCGCCGGAGGTTCTCGCGGCTGTTTTGCACGGATGTCACGTTGGTTTGTTTTGATTTTGACTGGAGACCTCGGGTTCGTGTGGCAAGAGAACTTTGAAGGTTAAAGTGGAGGAGGGTTCCATGTGAACGGTTGAGTGATGCTCCGCACAGCGCCGGCTCGAGGACAACAGGAACAGCACCAGCAACAGCACCAGCAACAGCACCAGCAACCCCTCGGCTCGGCTCGGAAAACAGCAGCAACCCTCGGCTCGGCTCGGAAAACAGCAGCAACCCTCGGCTCGGCTCGGAAAACAGCAGCAACAGCATCAGCAGCAGCATCAGCAACAGCACCAGCAACCCCTCGGCTCGGCTTGGAAAACAGCAGCAACCCTCGGCTCGGCTCGGAAAACAGCAGCAACCCTCGGCTCGGCTCGGAAAACAGCAGCAACAGCATCAGCAGCAGCATCAGCAGCACCAGCATCAGCAGCACCAGCATCAGCAGCACCAGCAGCAACATCAGCAGCACTAGCTCGGCAAGCGGGCGACACAATGTCGTCCGGGCAATGGTGGGACGAGAGCTGGCGTGCTCCGAGGCCAGCGTGTTTTTTTTTGTCTTTGTCGGCGCCATTCATGACCTAGGCGTGGCCCTGCGTGGGATCGGCGGCAGCAGGGCTTCCAGAGGCGGCAGGACGAGCGGATGGAGCAGGCCCCCCCTTGTTTGTTTTGGTCCCTCGCATCATTCGATTTTTTTGCAGGTACGCCAGATCGCGTCCCTCACCGAGCAGGTGAAGAACGAGACTGCCCGCGCGGTGCGTGCTGAGCAGAAAGTGGAGGCGTTTCGCAACCAGGTGGCGCAGCAGAACGCGGACATCCACGCGATGGCCACCGAGCTGACGGTGGGGAGGCTCAAGATCGCGGAGCTGCAGAAGGAGCTCGACAAGGCGCATGCGTTGTTTACGGGCTTCAGACTGTGTTTTTTTTCCTGTGGAAGGCAAACACGCCGAAGAGGGCGCGGAAGGAGCTCGACAAGGTGCCTCAGGTGCGTTCATGACCCACTCCTCTGTTTTTTTCCTTTTCTTTCGCAGGCGGACACCTCGAAGAAGACGCGGAAGGAGAAGTAGACCTAGGCCTGTCACGGCCCCATTTGCCTTTGAGTTGCATCAAACCCTCACTTGTGCGTCAATGTCATCCATTTTTTTACAGCTGTGTTCCTGCTCCCCTGAGATGCAATTATCCCTCCGTCAGGTGGCCATCTGAGGAGCATTGGTGGCCCGCGCCGGCCTTGCTCTCTTCTTTGATTGAGTTGCGCCCGCATGCGTCAAGGTCGTCCATTTTTTTGCAACAATCTACGGGAGGCGTGATGTTTGATTGTGCATTCACTGCATGGACACATGTTCTGGGCGGTCCTCACGTGGTCGTTGACAGGCGCTCATCTGAGAGGGCATCCGCGATTTTTGACCGCCGGCAACGGCAAAACGAGCTGCTCGAGCAGCCGACGATGTCGTGTCGTGTGTTGGGGGGGCGGGGCCGCTGTGAAAGTGGCGGCCACTGTATAAGTGGCGGGGAGGGGCCACTGTTCAAGTGGCAGGCCACTGTACAAGTGGCGGGTGGTAGGGGGCCACTGTTCAAGTGGCAGGCCACTGTATAAGTGGTTGAGCGTGCGTTTTAGGGTAGGACGTGCCGAGCGGGCACAGTGCCGAGCGGGCACGTAGGATAGTACGGGTTCGCCCAACGACCCTTAGTACGGGTTCGCCCAACGACTCATAGTACGGGTTCGCCCAACGACTCATAGTACGGGTTCGCCCAACGACTCATAGTACGGGTTCGCCCAACGACTCATAGTACGGGTTCGCCCAACGGGCCCTTGATACTGGCTCGCCCAACGACCCTTACTGCTGAGACAAGTGAGACAAGTGAGACAAGTGAGACAAGTGATTTCCAGAGCCACCGAGGTCCTACTGAGACATTGAGACAAGTGAGACAAGTGAGACAAACACGACGCCTGTCGATTTTTTGCTGCTTTTGAGCAATTGAGACAAGTGAGACAAGTGAGACAATCACGACACCTGTCGATTTTGCTGCTTTTGAGCAATTGAGACAAGCGAGACAAGTGAGACGAACACAAGGGTGGCAGGTTCGCCTGTTTGTGAGCAATTTTGCTGAGATATTCGGACAATTGCGACAAGTGAGACAAATGAGACCATACAGAACTGTCCCGAAAAACGGTGCCAGATGGCCGTTTTTTCGTTTGTCTCACTTGTCTCACTTGTCTCACTTGTCTCAGCAGGACTTCCCTGGACCTGGGAAAAAAAAACTGTCTTTGGTGGCGACTTGTCGTGGTGAAATGTTTCAAAAAAACGTTTTTTTCCGAATGGATTGGATGACGTGAAGAGAGCCACGGCGATGTCTCAATGGGGCTCTTACGGGTCGAATCGCAAGGGACACGGACGTCTCGCGCCGCAGAGACTTACTCAATTCGATCAGTAGACGAGCCACAAGGTAGCTGACAGGCATGGAGCGTTGGTCCCAACTACAGGAGATGGTGATCGGCGGGGATGCCCGAGCTGATGAGATCTGCCAGCTGCTGACGAACGAGGCCGACACGGACCTGCGCAGGTCGGTGCTCCTGCAGCGACTCGTGGACGTGCTTGGAGAGGGCTTCACTCCGTTGAGTGCACAGATGCAGCTGCAGTGGATGCTGTTGGAGGACGCCGTCGCCTCCGGTGACTCGACAGCGACACACTTGCTCAGTTTTCTGGCAAGTGCACGGGGGTCCCCTGCGGTCGCTCTGGCTCGCCTGACAAAGGGCGTGGGTGCCAAGGATTGGCGCAACATCTCGCCAGGAGTGGCGGAGATGTTGATGCGATGTGCCGGAGGCGGTCGAAGTCTATGACGACAATTCCGAGGAGGAGGAACAGGGCGTGGTGGCGTGCCCGTGGACAGAACAGGCTGAGGCCGCGGAGTTGGAGGCGGCGGCAAATATCTCGCACGACTTCGTCGACGAGGATCCGATTGCGGAGCAGCCTGATGACGATCACCTGGACGAGCAGGCGGATGCGAACGAGGAGGTGCCCCAAATCCTCTTCGACAGGGTCAACCCAGTGGCAGTCGAAGAGATTGGCAAGCGTGTTCTCAGCAAGGTCTTCAGGACGGGCAAGGGAACGGCCCGACGGTGATGCGCATCTGTGGAGATATCCTGGCACAGTGCACACGTGGGAAGGTGGCCGGGGCGAGGTGCTTTCGCACTACGTACAGGGAGGAGAAGGGGATGGTCGCATCGGCAAAAAAGGCAGGCGTTTCTCCGGTCACGTGGAGGCTCCCAAGAAGAAGAAGAAGGGAGAGGAGGAAGAGGAGGAGTTTAAGAGCCCGTTGGGGATCGTCACGGCTCACTTCGCAACCAGCACCTTTGCCCAGCCGAATTGGCTCCGGTCACTGCTTCGCTCGGGACTACCGGGGCATTTCGTCTTTGACCTGCCACTTGGCAGTGCTGCGCGAACGCCATCAGCCAGCGGCCGACTCGGCGCTGGAGACATACTTCCAGGACAGGGAGCGCATCCTCCGCGACACACATGCGGACCGCACCGTGGCCAAACAGCTCTTCCTGCGTCTTCTGTACGGTGGGTCGATCTTGGCCTGGAAGCGCACGCACCGACTTGGGGAGTTCGCGACAGAGCAGTTTGCCGAGCGGTTCGCAGCAGAGATGGCTGCCATGCGGCAGGCTGACTGCCAGAACCACACCCAGCTACTTGCCAAGCTGCGGCAACGGACGGCGCGCCCCGTGGAGTATTTGCAGTACGCCCTCAACACTGCGCGAGAGAGGGAGCTGATTGACAAGGTCGTGCTGCGCCTGGGAGAGCATCACAACGCAGCCGTCCTGGCTTTCGAGCACGACGGGCTGTTCCTCTACTGGCCGGACGAGCCGGAGAAACTACGCGGGCTCATCGAGAGTGCGCTGTGCGGCTTCCGCTACACTGTGAAGCCGACGATGCCGCTACGAGAGGCTCTGCAGGGGCAGCGAGAGTGATGCGCAGCGGCAGCCCCGGCCTGGAGCGCATGTTTGACCAGGTGGACTCGCGTTGGCTTGAGCACCACGGTATCGTGCGCCAAGCCTTCAAAGGTTCGTTGCAGTACCACGGCCTGTTCGGGGAAGTCGTGCTGAGGAGCCCGGCGGTTTCCAGCAAGATCCCATACTCGTTGAAGGACATCTTCAAGTTCATCGTCGACACCGGTCACAAAGCCTGGTTCAGCGCCACACTGAAAACTTGGATCCTGACTGGAGACAGCGCAATGGACTCTCTGAGGAAGGCGAGTGAGAAGATTCTGATCCGCGACTTGACGGACTACCACATCGAATGGACCACCTCGGAACAGGATGCGGGGTTTCGGAGCAACGCTCGCTGGGAGTTCACTGGCCAGACTTTCCAGAACGGCGTTGCCAACTGGCTGAAATCGAATCTGGGAGAGTCCTCCGCGGCCTTCGATGTGGACGGAGAGTCCTGCCGCAAGTACTTGAACTTCTCCGGCAAAGTGCTGAACAGTGAGACGCTGGAGTGGTCTCCCATCAGCCCCACATTCAAAATCACCCGCAGCACTAACTGGGAGCATCAATGGCCTGCCTGGTGGTCCACGGAGGTTTGCACCGAGCTCTACGCCGTTCTGGCCGAGGTGCGTCGTCAGCAGGAGGATGCGGAGAAGAGGAGGGTGGAATACACCCTCGGTGAGCAGGTGAAAGCCCGCCTCGACGCCCTGTGCAAGAAGATCCCTGCGTTGCAGGTGGTGCACGCCTGGACGGTGGATGACTGGGAGTCCACATTGTTTGAGCTGTCGCTGCTCGTGAAGGGCGTTTTCGGAGGCACGCAGGCGGCAGCCCTGTGGACCAGGGGCGTGGGTAGGAACGGAAAAGACACGCTGTGCAACATCATGCAGGCTGTCTTGGGGAGCTACACTGTCTCGATGCAGCACAGACACTGTCCCGAATCAGGGACCCGAGCGCTCCATCACCGGCGTACGCACTGTGCAGGGCACGTCGCTTCGTGGCGATCAGGGAGATCGACAAATGCGAGCCCATCAGGCAGCAGTTGTACAAGGTGTTCACCGACCCGAAGAGTGAGCTCACGGGCAGAGACATGTACGAGAAGATGGTGCAGTTCAAGCCCCAGTTCCTCCTTTTCCTCGCATCGAACGACCCCCCAGCCCTTGTCAACGATCTGGCCAACAGGGAACGGACCAACGTTGTGGAGCATGTGTCGGTGTTCCACGACCATCCCGTGGAAGCGAACCACGCACAGTGGAAGGACATTGAGGCCACGCTGGAGACATCCGAGGGCAAGGCAGAGTACTTCGCCCTGTTTTACGCCGTCTTCCATCAGCTGCTGTGGCAGAACCCCCGCAGGCGCATCGGCCCTATCCCACCCAAATGCCTGGCTTTCCTGGAAGAGGAGATGCATGACCCCGTCTTGAGCGCCGTCACAGATTTCGTCGCCACGAAGCTGGAGCGAGCGCCAAGGGGAGGTGCCACGCCACGTGAGGAGGTGCGCAAGGCGTTGCATGCCTTTGTCGAGAGAAACGCGCCGGTGGAGGACGGCAGGCGCCGCGAAGTCCGGTGCGGCGAGCTCCTGAAGCAACTGGGCGTCCTGGAGAAGAGGGGACGCGGCGGCGCCACGCTGGACGGCCGCCGCAAAAACACCTACTATTTGATCTACATCTTCCCGAAGACGGACGGCTTCAAGGACAGTGAAGCCAGCTTCGTTCGCTTGGTGAGTGGCGCAGAGCCTGCAGTTGGAGGCGGCAACTGAGTGAGGGGAGGAGGAGGGACATGTGCAATCAGGTACAGTGCACTATCCCTGTTTCATCTTGCAGCGAACAGAGAGACGAACAGAAAAAAGACGGAAGCGATCGAGACGCTTTGGCGCTAGCGTGAGAGCTTGTGTTCCATCGTCGACTGACTGCGCGACACGCTCCGTCGTATCAGGGGCTCAAAAGCATTTGGATTGTGGACTGCAAGAGTTGCGCCGAGACGTTGCGACAAGCACAAACCGGCCATTTTTTCTCATGTCAGGAAGGAGACAGCACTTTTTTTTTTCTCGGAGCCAGAGAAGTCTCACTGAGACAAGTGAGACAAGTGAGACAAGAGTGAGACAACACAAACCCAGCGATTTTTTTGACTTTTTTTTGCATGAATGGAAACAATTGGCATGGATTGAGACCAAAGAACGTCCATTTTTGATTGTTTTGCTGCATGAAACCTTGTGTTGGGAACTGAGACAAACATGAAACCGGCCAATTTGGCCGCCTTGCTGCATGAAACCTTGAGTTGAGACAATCGAGACAACAACGGAGACAAGTGAGACAAACGCGAAACCAGCCATTCTTTACCTTTTTTTT